GCATCGTTGATCTTGATTACGGTATGTCTCTGTTAATTTGTGAACTAGCTTGTAGATTGAACAGCCTAAACTCTTCGTCACAGGTCAATGTATTTTTTTGACTATTTTCCCCTCTGTCTTCAATTTCAGAACCAGTGGATTACTGAATAGGGTAAGGTCAATATCAATGTGACTTCAATGCGACATAAGCTATACAATTTACACTGTTTTTACCCCCCCCCCCAGACAAGTCTGCAACCATCCGGTCTCATTGGGACTAAATGCATGGTTGGCCGTGTCGGGAGTCGATCCGGGATTCGGTAATCGGATCGTGAGCATGGTAAGCGACGTACTTGCCGCTACACCGCCTCCTTCCATCAATTGGAAGCTTGCAGCAGTGCAGAGCGTGCACCGGGAAACCTTCAACGTGTGATCACTGAAGATGGGGCTCTATGTGCAGAGACCAATGCTCAAAAAGCCTGTGAGATGAGGGTTGAGGCGGAGCTGATAGAGGGATTCTGCAGGAGGCGCAAACTAGTGAGAAAACACGGCGAAATACCGAGTTGTCCAGAAAGTCGTTGCCGATTTTGAATGCCTTTGAAAAAAATTATTTCACAGAAAATAAGTGAATAACCTCTTCAAGTTTTATATTTTCTGAAACTACTCAAAGTTTAGAATAGTTGCTTTTGCTTCGTGATAGCATGTGTTGAATTATGCTCGTTCTAGTCACTATCCCCCACTAATTGTTCAGAATGGCATCATTTGTGCGAAAGGCCGTCTTCGCTGTGTTTCAAGCCATGCCCCATCATTCCCTTCGTTTGCAGGACTAATGGTTGTACGAATAGATAAAAGAAGAACATACAGAGCCTGAAGTGTCTGCTGTGGCTTACAGATTTCAGCTCGAGCTGTAACTGTACTGACTTAGGCCATATTAGGCCTATCCGAACTGTTGTTTCCTGGATAACAATGGCAACGGCCAACGTTATCCAAGAAATATGTTGGTAAGGGGAGTACTAAGAAGAAAGAGAGGAGTACTAGTTTACTAGTATTGGCTTCATACGAAGCGCATGATGAGCTGAGCAGTCATGAAGTTATGAGCAAGAACCTGTAGCCTGTCAAAAAGAAGCTTTGTATAATCACGTAAAAATTCCGCTCAGGACCGGATCCGGATGACACCTTGGACGAAAAGCAGACAGATCACGTTGGACGCTTCGAGCTTAGCGGCACGACACACGAGATGACACCGATTGATCCTGTTCTTTACGTATGGCACGACTGCTTGGATGAGAAGAATGTGAGTCGTACAGATGAGATGTAATGATAGAAAAACAGGGCACAGTTCGTTTTGGTGGGGGCATTGATTGGTGTTACAAGACTACCTTGTTGAAGGCGTGTAAATCTCATTTTGCTCCATTTCGCCGCCTCGCCTGTTAGGCTGCGTTTATACTTTGCGGCAGCGTAGCGTAGCGCTTCCAGCGTACGCCAGCGGCAGTGCCGGGGAGAGGATGCATATCGATCTAGCGTTCCCAGCGTCACCAGCGTAACGCTAGCGTACGCTAGCGTTAGGCAGCGTTCATAGTTCGCGACAGCAGCGGCGATCGCCGCGATCGCCGCGATCGTCGGTGCATGGCAGCGCGCGCCCCAACGCTATTGTGAATGCTCGCCTGATGAATAAGGGAATTCAACTTGTAAGACCTTCTTTACTCTTAATAAGGGCTACTAACAGACAAACTACGACTTTCTACACATAAGCAGATCTGGAATATGAGGTAAGAAGGTTTCACTTCCTTTTAGGTCGGGGTAAGACCAACTCCATTTCCTGGGTGAGCTTCTTTTTTTGTTTTTATTGTTTCAACTTATGCATGCGCCTCAGGAATTCCTATCGTCTAAGCTGTTCCAACTTCCAAAACATTCATAGTTTACAAGTCGAGTTCAAACAACGAAGAAAAAAAAACAGAAAGAAACTCTCCTAGGAACCAAAGCACTAATCATTTTACGCGACATCAACAGGTGAAAACTTCATAAACCTCATGTACAACCTCGACGAATGAAAAAAAGAAGCAATAAAAACGTACCTCAAGTGAAGCTCTCGCGCTTTTTGCTCATTTCTATCCTAAATAAGAAAGAAAATAGAAAACAAAAGCGATTAAGCTGGGCTCGCCTTCCCTTGTGTCAAACCAAGCTTCAGTACCTAAGGAAATTGCAGTCAAAGGAAAAAAAGCATAAAATTGAGCCGCTTACCCCCAGAAGCCTTCGGAGCGTACGTATCCTCTCCCCGGCACTGCCGCTGGCGTACGCTGGAAGCGCTACGCTACGCTGCCGCAAAGTATAAACGCAGCCTAACGCAGCCTCACATAGAGGAAAGAACTACTGAATGAGCAACATTGCCCCCCCCCCCACATCCCTAAGCCGAACAGCGCCGAAAATTGTGTTAAGACGAGGTAGATGAGCTTCTTCGAGACTCATGTAAGCCATTCTCGTCTCAGTCGTTGCAATCACTTGTAATTATTAACATGACAATTTCAGCCATGCCTTCGCAAGATGAAATTTGTAATTCCGAAAAAGTTCATTCACAATGGCAATCCGAAGCCGGAACAGTGGGTCGATCTTGGAACATTGAACCTCGAAGGCTCATTCGATAGCGAAGGACGTGAATGCCTCCATTAATTGAACAGGATGCTGCTGCTCGACAAATTTATTCGCTACTGTTGTATCTTTGAAGTAATTACTTCTGGTATTCTACTTATCTAGGAATAAAACTGACTGACCGCCTCGAATAGTGGGACAAATCATCCGTCGCAGCTGCGGGACAAGCGATATGTCGTCGAAAGCGTTATGTAGTGGGGTTTTGATTCTTCTCCATATAAAGGGAGCTTGAATTGAAGATACGGTCCGCGATCAGCTATAGAAATTGAAAATGTGGCTTCGGGAGGGTAGTGTGGTCCGCGACGAACAACCTTGTACCGGTTTCGCGGCAAAAAATTGTAAGGGAGGGGTGCTAAAGCGCTCAGTGACGCCTCCTTTTCCGATATGTTCTTTTCTCCAGTGACTCCGCCTCCAGACTCCGCCTTCAAGGCCCGCCTTTCAGTGAAAACGAAGCTGCAGGACGAAAAAGCATGAAAATCGTCACTTGTACGGTCGTAGAGTTCTTATGATGAGGGCGTAGTGTTGGAGATGGAGGCAATTGGGCACGTACAAACTGGGATCAAAATGGGGTTCTATCTAGGGCAGTGGCATGTTTTTTTTCTGCTTTTTTCTTCACTATCAACTTACTGGGCATCTTGTCGTCTATCCACAAACCCCTAATCCATATGTGTGATATCGAATGATCGCTCGCTTTGCCTTCAAGTAATCGCCAAAGATGCCTTTAGACAAACTGTAAACTCACCTCTGCAGGTAGCCCTTTCCATATGTCTATGCTAGAGATAGCATAGTTC